ATTCTCGGATCTAGACTAGCTCCGACACTCGAGTCTTGGAGAGGTGCGTGGGGATGGATTGGACTGGTGGCACATCGCAACGTGCTTCCGCTTCCGACCGGCGGTCGGACTTTCTCTTCTCTTCCACAACTGTCACTGCTTCCGCCCTGTCACCACTTCCGCAGCTGTCACTGTTAACGCACCTGTCTGTACTCGAGCAAACGCCTATAAATCCCTTACACTTCCACGATCTCCTCCCTTCGCTGCTCCACACCTCTACACGTTCCATACCCTGCTCGACACTGATCCATCCTAGCTCGATATTGCTACCTCTCTGCTCTGCACAACTGCAAGCGACTGCATCCTGATTCATCGATGTCGACCCCCGCGCCTTCGATCGAGACGGTGAAGAGCCTGTGTGGGCTCAACAGGATCGCATCTCCCGAATACGTTTTCATTCACGCCAAGAGGATCACTCGAGAGGGGCTCGAGGAGTTCTACTGCAGCGTGACGGATGCTTTGGACCGCCTGCAGACTGACCTGCCCAAGGAAGGATACCACATGAGCGATGGTGCCTAGAAGCTCCGTTGGGGATGTTGCATCCAGGAAGTCCACGAGGCCGCTGGATTCGTTCGCGACGTGGGTATCCAAGCAAGAACAAGCCTGCAAATCTTGGTCGCCGAATTGACTCCTCTTTTCTGCCACAGTTCAACAGCAAGTTCAATCAATGAACGGCCTTCATGATGGGCTGCTGCGCGTCCGAGCTGAAGTACGCGCATGTGCAAACTTGCTTGCCGCTTCACCTTTGCCAGCCGCCCGCCTCGTCCAACACGTGCCTACAGCCAGCCTTGTCGTAGGCTCAGCTCTTGCAAGGACATCATCGGCTTTCATCTTGCTTTGTCAGTTCTCGCCTTCAATCCTAGCCACATTGTCGGCCTGCTTGCTCGTCTGCTCCAATCCTGGACACTTCACCTGCTACACACACCGGACCGAGTCGGTTCGACATTTCAAACTGCATTTGCGCGGGACTGGTCTACCTGCGGCTACCGCCTCTTCCACCGCCTCTTCCACCGCCCCTTCCACCTCCCCTGCTGCCGCCACGTCCGCCGCCCCTGCCGCCACGACTGGCTCTGGGTCGACCCTTTGCATCCTTCCTAGACGGCCTGGCGTTCTTTTCTCGCCTCTTGTCCTTGATCTCTCGCTCCTTCTGGATCTGTCGTGCGCTCTTGACCTCGTCCCTGGCCGCCTGTCTCTTGTCCTGGCCCGGTCTGCCCTTGCCAAACGCCTCCGCCTTGGGAGGCACGACCTTGTTGTGCCTGAACTTCTTCAGCCCCATGACCGAGTCCACGGCGGAGTTGCTGTTCGACTCGAGTTCGCCGGTCTTGGGCATGTCGACGCGCTTCTCGCGCTTCCAGTCCTCGAATCTACCGGACCTGAAGCTCGCCGGGAGACGCACGCCGGACTCGGTGCGGATCATCTTCTTGTTGTCGGCGCCGACGGCGCCCTGAATGAACTTCTTCTTCTTCGAGTCCCAGCGCGTGACGTTGGGACGCTGCGACTGCGTGCCCATCGTGGCATCGTCGCCAGCCAGGTCAAACGACGCAGCAGAGGCTTGCTGGACGAACGAGTCGATGCCAGACCGCGGGTTGCCGAGCGAATAGCCGCGCTCGTCACGCGAACCCTCCTGCTCATACGACAGGTAGAAGTTCGGGTCACGGTACGATCCAGCGGCCTTGGTCTTCTTACCAGGAGCTGCACTACGCGTACGCTTGGCGGGTCGACCTTCGTCATCCGAGTCGGACTCGGCTTGCGAATCCGACTCATCGCGCGCAGACACCTTGACCGACGCCTTGTTGACGCTAGACGGGCCCGTGTCGAATGCAGCCAGGATATCGGCCTCGTCAGCCTGCTCCAGGTCGACTGTCGCATCGCCAGCGCCAGCCTCGTCATCCGCAGCCGCCTTCTTGTTCTTCGACTTTTTGCTCGCAGCGCCCTTGGCTTCGTCGTCCTGTGCGTCCTCGGAGCCTCCCTCCATGGCGCGCTTCCTGGCCTCGAGCGCTTCGGCGCGCTTGGTCTTGACATCCATCGTCTGTCTACGGCTGCGCATGAGCGCACCCAGTGGGGTCGCGTCTCCGCGAATACCGATCTCAAACACGGTCTCCTGCGGCCTGAAAGCATTGACTTTGGCGAGCAGAGCCGCGCGCGCCGCCGCTTCTTCTGCCTCCTTGCCGGCCGCCTTGCCCGTGGCGCCCTGAGCCGCAGCTGCACCGAGCACGGATCGCGCCGACTCGGACATCTTGGCGCCGTTGAGCCCGTACACGCCGGGACGCTTGATGACGTCGTGCACTGCCGTTTCCTCGAGCGGCGAGCCGGCGAGGGTCCATTCGGGCACCTCGCCCTCGACGCCATTAGCGGTGCGGATGTTGATCTGCTCGATGCTGCCGAGCTTGATCATCTCCTTTGCGCGGCGGTGCGATTCCTGTGCGGCCTTTGTGATGGACTTTTCGTACTTTTGCTGCGCCCTCTCTGCAACCTGTTTGAGCGCTGGAAAATCGTGCACGGTGGAGGACGAGGTGTTGGTGAGCGACGAGCTGATGAACTCGGTCTCGAGGTCGAGCGCCTCGCGCGGGAACGTTCCGAGCACCAGGCTATCGTGCAGGCCGAGCGAGTCTGCATCGCCAATCTCCTGCCCATCAGCAAGGGCGGCGACAGCAGTGTGGGACGAGACGAGCGGACGTGCGAGGAAGAGCTGCAGATCGCACAAGTAGGGCAGCTCGGCGTTGGTGCACATGCTCCACGCCCATCCGTTGCGTCCTGCGCGCGCAGTACGGCCGACACGGTGGACAAACGTACGCGGCTGCGGTGGGAAGTCATAGTTGACGACGTGCTCGAGCACGGGCAGATCGATACCTCGCGCTGCAACGTCGGTGACGATGAGCAGACTCGTTTGGCCACGACGGAAGCGCGACATCTGGATGCCTCGCGTGGCCTGGTCGAGGGACGAGTAGATGTGGGAGCAGGCATAGCCGGTGGTGGTGAGCAGCAGCAAGAGGTACTCGACGTGGTGCTTTGTGGCGCAAAAGATGATCGTCTGATGCGGAAGCAGTTCGAGCGCGCCACCGCGCTTGCGCTTGGCAGCGAGGTCTTTGCCCTTTCCCTTGGTCTTTCCTTTGAAGTGGTGCTTCTGATTGGACCACGCCTGTCGCTTGAGCTGCTCGCCGGCGTCGTCGCTGTTATCCTCGTTGAACTGATCCTCCTCTTCGAGATCAGGGGCCGCCTGCTCGCCGAGGGGCACGCCGATGACGTCGCGCAAGAGCAGCAGCAGCGCCGCCTCCTTCTCGGATGGCTTTACGCTGAAGAAGGCCATGCGAAGGTCGGCGCTGATCTTGCTGTCGGCATCGAGACGAACGAGCTTGGGATTGGCCTGGAGGCCAGCCTTTGCGAACTCGACGAGCTTTTTGGGCAGCGTGGCACTGAAGAGGAGCGTCTGCCTTGTGGGCGGCAGACGGAGGAGCATCTCCTCGAGCTGCTCTGCAAAGCCCATTTCGAAGAGACGATCGGCCTCGTCGAATACGACGTACTCGACCGACTTGAGGTCGAGGTTCATCTCTACGGTGAGGTGGAGCATTCGTCCGGGCGTGGCGATGACGACGTCTGGGTTGTTGGACATGATGGCGAATTGCTCGTCGAGCGACTCGCCACCGACGATCATGGCCCAGCGGATGGCCTCTCCGCGGCTGTCCTGGCCCTCGCCCGGATCGGCCTTCCAGCCACGTGCGATCTCCTTGCCGACGCGAAGGATCTGGACGGCAAGCTCGCGCGATGGGCAAAAGATGAGACTCTTGATGCCGAAGGTGCGCGAGTGGCGACCGTTGAGGCGGTTGATGAGCGGGATGAGGTAGGCGAGCGTCTTTCCGGAACCGGTGCGCGCCATGCCGACGACGTCTCTGGGTGGCTGAGCCATGACAGCCGGGATGGCCTGTCGCTGAATGGGCGTGGGAGTGGTGAAGCCGCGGATGAGAAGCGAGCGGAGCAGGGAGGGATGGAGGCCCATGCTCTGGAAGGAGCCGCCACCGGTGACGACGCCGGAGCCGAGCTTGTTCTTTCCCTTGTTCTTTCCCGAGAGCGCCTTCTTTGCGACTTCTACGCCGGCCTTGACGTTGGCCTGCTGCATGACCGAGGCAATGAACTGGGCCTCGTCAAGGTCGTCGTCGTCGTCTTGCTGCATATTGTGGTCGACGGCACGAGACGGACGTGCCTTGACAGGGCGGGATGAGGACGAGGCTGCAGATGCTGGAAGCGTGTTGGATACGAGCGAGTTGGTGATATCGAAACCATCGTCGTCGTCGCTATCGTCGTTGTTGGCTCTGGTGCGTTTGGACGATGGCTTGGCGGTGTTGGAGGAAGGGGTGGTGCGCGCGCGCTTCTGCTTGGACGGTTTGGGTGCGAAAGCGACGTCGTCTTCGCCGTCTGAGGCGAGGAAGTCGATTGTCTTTGCCATGATGGATGCGTTCGCTGCGGACGGTATCCAGGATGGTGGGTGGGAGAAGGACGTTAGCCTGAAACGGTCGCAGCGAAGAAAGGGTGCCAAGTGTGCCACAGAGCCACGCTGCGAGAACAATTTTGCCGGGTTTCAGCTCAGAGAGGAAAAAAAAAGTGCGGGCGACTCGGAACTCGGAGCGTGCGTTTTTAGCACTGTTAGACTAGCAGCTTGGGCACCATCACGTGCGGCGCCAACACGCTTTTTGGGGGGCCACACCTCCACACTCTCAGAGAGCTGTGTTGTAGCGCCAAAAAGTGAGTGTTGGTCAGCCCACGGCGTAGGTACGACCTGCAGCTGCAGCTGCTGAGCACTTTCTATCTCCTCGTCTTTCATCCTATGGTTTTTGCTCCAAGGCTCCGCTCCATCCAACCGACTGCTCTTCGGTCCTATTCCCAGCGCCGCACCGCCTCGCGATGCTGCCGGTCTGTGCCGCTGGTCTGAGCCGCTTGCGTCGCTAAGATCGCTTGCATCGCCAACCATGGTCGGCGCACTCTGGATTGACAGCGGCTCGGAGAGCGACACCAACGCTCAGCCGCGTGCACGCCGCTCACGCCAGCCCTCGCACAGCACCGAACGAACTGCTAGACCTTCACGCACATCGCCGCGACAAAGGCGTCCGCGCTCGCCAGGGTCGACGTCGGTGATCGTGCTTTCTTCCTCACAGAACGACGATGCTCACAGTTCAGCGCCAACGCCCAGCCGACTACCTTCGACTAGCCAAGATGGTCAAGCACAGGCGACAGAGCTGACGCACAGCCAGCGCATGGCCAGTCTCATGTCGCAGTCGTCGCCCGACTCGTCCCTTTCCAGCTTCCGAGGATTGCTCGCCCAGCACTCTACACGCGGAGCCGCTAGCCGGCCCGGCGCTTCATTTCAGACCGACGCAGACACGGCAGCTGCATCAAATTCTCATCTCTTGCCTGCTTCATCGCGAGCAGGTTCGCTGAGGCGTAGAGCTTCACAGCCTGTTGCATCGAGCCCACAGCAAGACGCACCGACCTCTCATCGAGTGCGCTCTGCAAGGACACCGGTCCGCAATCCGAGAACATCCACCGTCCACGAAGTGATCGAGTTAGGTTCCGACTCGATAGCTGATCCGGCCAGCGAAGCGGACATCCAGCACTGCTCGCCCAACTCATCGCCCATTCGATCTCAGTTCAGCACGAGGCATCTGCCCAGCTCCAGTCTGCCGATACCCGTGTCGCCGCTGCGTGCCAGGCCGACTCGAGCTTCAGTCGCGGTCGGGGAGCCAGCAGACACGTCTGTACGCCCGCCAGCGTCCAAGTCGCTACGACAGACAATGGATCTCCGGGTGCCTCGATCGACATTACGCGTCGAGTCGGCACCGATTGTCATTCTCTCAAGCAGTCCGCCGCCGGCGACGTTGCCTCGAGCGTCGCAAGCAGAAATGCATTTGGCGCACATGGACGACGAGCTTTTCCCGGACCTGCCGCCGTCGTCTTTCACGTACGAGGCGGGTGCGCTTCCGAGTCCACCGTCGTCACCCTGCGTCGGCGAGGTTGCGCAACACGACACGTCTCCCTCGATCAACAAGAGAACGGCCGCCTCGACGTCCAAGCTGCCGTCGCCCAAGCGAGCACGGCCGCTGCAGAGGACCACGTCGCTGCTCGACGCGCTCGACAATCTACACGTCCCGAAAGACACGGTGGCCAAAGCAAGCAAAGCGGTCAAAGTGTCGGAAGAGGGAAACGGCACGGCGGATGTGCCTCCGCGCACCAATGCTGACGATGGTGGAGCCTCGCATTCGAAAAGCACGAGCAAGGCTGCAAAGGCTGCGGCAGCCAAGGAGGCGCGCGAGGCCAAGGCGCGCGAGCGTGAGGCGGCCAAGGCGGCGAAAGTGCGGCTGGCCTCCGAGAAGAAGCGGTTCGTCGAGGCGAATCGACTGCGCACGTCCAAGTCCGATACGATGCGCGAGCTGATTGTCGACCTGGACCGCACGCTCTTCGCCAAGGACATGCCGCTGGCCACGTGCGAGCAGTCGATTGTCGCGCGGCTGGTCGAGGAGGGTGCGACGGTGCACATGTGCGATAGCGTCGTCGCTCCACCTCTGATCAGGTTCCGGAGAAAAGTCAAGGCCGAGTGGTCGGATGAGCGCAGACACTGGGTTCCTTTGGACGAAGAGCAGGTACGCAGGGAGCCGGTGACCATGGTGTATGTGGATGCGGCCGAGGTGGTGAGGCTGGTGGGAGAGGGCGAAACGGCACTGGAAGCTTGGTATGCGGACCTGGAGCGCAGATTGCTGGCGGTCAATGCGGGAGAGGTGGGCAGCAGGGGTGGCGAGCAGCAGGTGTTTCTCATCTGCCAGGGGCTGGTCAAGTACTATTCTCGCTTGCGGGCGAATGAGAATCGGGCGTATACGGCGAGGATCCGACAGCAGCTGGCGGAAGGATCGAATGCAGAGGTTGCAGCGGAGTCGACGGGGACGAGGGCGGCAGGTCGCAAGGGCGCAGGGAGTGGGGATGTGCCGGTGCAGGCGGTGGTGGAGCGTGCGCTGCTGCAGCTCAAGATGATGCGGCGGTGCTACGTGATCCACGCTGCGTCGTTAGTGGATGGGGTGGAGTGGGTGCACCAGCTGACGGGTGACGTCTCACTGCGTCCATACAAGGCGTTGCGCGACACGCATCTCTCGTTCGCAGTCGACACGGGGCGCAACACGTCGTCGAGCGATCCCGGAATGATCTATGCCATGATGCTTCAACAGATCCCGCGCGTTACGCCCGCGATCGCGGCGAGCATCGCTACGCGCTACCCCTCGCTGCACGCTCTCGTCGCTGCATACAAGAGCTGCACGAGCGTTGACGAAGAGCGACGATTGCTGGCTACGATCCAGATTGAAACCAACCGCGACGGCACCGTGCGCAGCACCAACAGGGCGAGTCTGGGGCTGCAGCTCAGCAAGCGCATCCATGCGGTGCTGAGGGGCTCCAACGCCGACATGCTCATCAACCATCCCACCAAGGACTGAGCATGCGAAAAAATCAGAGTGGCATCATCATTGCGAGAAGATAAAGAAGAGAGAGGGGGAGAGAAATGAGTGAAAGCATTGAAAGTGAGGGGGAAAGTTAGCCGACGAGGGGAGCGCGTTCCTCGTCGGAGATGGCGGTGGTGTTGCGGTTGGTGAAGATGGCGATGACGGCGCGCAGCACGGCGACGAGGCTGATGATGAAGAAGGCGAGGGCGGACCAGTGGATGAACTTGGACGAGGTTTGGTGCTGGAAGATGGCGAGGAGCGAGAGGCTGATGACAGCCGCACCCGCCACGTCGCCCTCGGAGTACCACACGTAGCCCGCTGCGGTGGATTCGAGGAAGAGCAGCGAGAGGAAGACGACGATCTTGGTGATGATGCCTGCCTTGTGGGTGTTTGCATTCACACCGAACGCCTCGAAGCCCGAGACGAAGAGGAGGACGACGACAAAGCCGTGGTAGAGGCTGAAGGGCAGATGCACGACCGCGGTATCGGCGAGGTTGGATGCGGTGTGGTGGACCTTGAGGCTACGGTAGCAGTGGCTGACCGTCGCTGCGATCAGAAGCATGACTACAAATGCGACGATGGCGTATACGCGGTCATGGTGGGCATTCATCTGAGCCGACGAGAGACCCGAGTAGGCGGCGTTGAGGATGCACAGCAGGGGGAAACGCCATCCAATGCCGCGCACGACGTGTGCCGACCCAGCCTCGGTGAACTGATAGATGATCATGCCGAGGAAGAGGAAGTGGATAAACGGCCATACGCCAAAGATCCATCGCGAGGGTGTGAGGTAGGTCTCGCTAACCACCGTGCCCTGCAGCTGCGCGTACACGTTGCCCGAGGTGAAGAGCGCGTACGACGCAATGTTGGCCACCTTGAGCAGAAGATCGTCGTTCCAAGCCATGTTGAGGTGTAGCTACGTGGGTGCGTTGAGGGTGTTGAGATGGAGGTGGAGGGGTTGGTGGTGGTTGGAGATCAGGATAGAGTGGATGGAGCGGTCACCGACTGAGCCGCGTAAGGAATGCTGCTCTCCGAGCCTTCAGGGTCGAGTGAGAGCCGAGGTGGAGGGTGCGGGCTCGGCAGCCAGGCGGTTGCTTTTTGGATGCTCAGTTGCAACGCACGGTGACGCAGTCCAAGCCACTGCGCCAAACCCAAGCCGCTGTCCCTTTGGGCCCAGCTCACGCGACCATCGCCGACCGTCTTGCCCGACTCGCTGCACCGCGGACGCGATCCATCCGTCCATGCAGTCGTACCAGCATGGGTGGCATGGGAAATTTGAGGTTTCGAGATTCAAAATGTTATGCTTCTGCTTTTGACATTATTTTCGCGCGACAGCGAAGTGTCGAGCCAAGCTGTCGACCGCTGAGTTGGGACGCGCACGTTTTGGCTCTTCTGTGCTTCTTTCCTGGATTTGGCTGTGAGCGTGCAGGCTGCAGTCTTGCCGCCGGTCCGCCGTGACAGCTGCTCTGGCCCGACACGCGCCCGCCCATGAAGCGCCTTCCTTTCCCCTCTTTTCCTTGCGCCCAACACGTTCGGGCGATCGAGTTCATCACTCACTCGACTTGCACCGAACATCCGCTTTGTGCCGGAGCTCAGAATCAGGAGTGCCGAGTTGCGCTTCGGAGGGAGTTGCTCCATCAACCTAAAAATCGGCTACGAGGCTCGCTTAGCTGCCTTTGCCATCGGCGCCGCACGTGTGCCCTGCCCTCCTTGGTCTCTACGACTATCGCCTTGAGTTGTCACCTTGAATGTGCACTCTGCGAACGTGGCAGTGATCATGCCGCGCAATGCCGTGAGAGATAGGAACGTGACTTGGCTGCGCCCACAGCTTCGGCACTTGACGCCTTCGCATAAATCAGCAAGCGTCGGACACCTCTCACCCGCCGGCATGAGCGGCGGCATTGCTGGACCCGAACTCGGCCTTACCCGGCGTCGCTGGAAGCTTTGCCACTCCTCGCCTTGCTGTTGGTCCAGGGTCTTGACGCCGGAACAAGCTTGCCCGAGCTTCTTGCTAGCCATGCTATCGCCAGCATCGAGACCAATGGGTATATAACCCCCGCTTGATGCTCATCCACCAAGACGAAGTTCAACCAATTGCTTCTCCTCCTCCTGACTCCTACGCCCTGCTCAAGATGAAGTTCGCCGTGATCGCCTCTGTGCTCGCATTTGCCGGGCTTGCTGCAGCATGCACACCGCCTTCGACCACCAACTGTGGCGGCAACGTGTACTCGAGCGACGACATCAACACTGCCATTCAGGCCGGTCTTGACGACGCCGCCTCCGGCGACCGTCCCGACAAGTAAGTCGCATCCCACCTCCTCCGTTATCTTTCGCTCCCAAAGACCCGAGCTGACCCTTTGTTCGCCTTCTCTTTGGATTCGCAGCTACCCCCACTCGTACTACGTGGAGGCATCCGAGGGCATCGAGCTTTGCTGCAGCAGCAGCGGGCCTTACAGCGAGTTCCCACTCGTGTACAATGGTCCTTACTACTCGTCGAGCGACAACTACGTGTCGCCTGGGCCCGATCGAGTGCTGTACGCTACAGATTCTGGAGAGTACTGTGCTACGGTTACGTATGTATCGAACCCCTCGCGAGATAGATAGACGGAGAAAGGTATGCTGACAATCGGCTCCCGATTCTGCTTCTTCTGACAGCCACACCGGTGCGGCCAGCTACAACGGATTTACTCAGTGCTCGTGATGCATTGCAAGTTTGCCAGAGTCCATCATTATCTCACTCGCCATCGTCAATGCAGAAGGACGGTCATCGAACCCTCATTGTCACGACGACCTCATTGGTCTGGCCTGTCATGTAGGGCTAGCCGCTGTCGAGACACAGAATCGTTTGGGCAGGCGGTTGCATTGTACGAACTTGCCGTACTCGAGAGCGGGCTGTAGGACGGGCTTTGATGGCTTCTAGAACTGGAAGCCTGGCGAAGGTGGAGTGCTTGAAGTGCAGATGCCGTTTGCCGGTCGAAGCCCACTTTTTTTCTCGCGTCCCCTTTTGTTAGAGTGGACGAAGACGAAATCGGTGATGAGGCGCGAGGCGAGCGGGGGAAATGACGTCGACACGCGCATGCATGGAGGGCGACCTTTCGGCACGCTGTTCGAGATTCATTCAGCGGCTCACGGTCTGAGCGCTTTGATGTGCGGGCTGTGCGGGCGCAGGGTCGGAGCGAATGGCGGCTGTGAAAGAGCACACCAACCTGGCTGCAGCCACTGCCTCGACTCGCTGCACGACGTGCATGGAGCCGCGCATCTGATGGACCATCTCCCGCAGCCTTTTGGCCTGCCAGACGGGCGTGAAGGCGCATCTCCAAGGGAGCCGCTGCGGAAATAGACACTCTGGCCTTCCACGTTGTCGAGTACGGTGCTGATCCACAGTGCAGACAGACGAGCATCGTCAGCATGGGCGCTTGGCAGCAGTCGAAGAGAGCAGATGCGCGTCACCCCTCGCATTGTTCACAAAATAGCACTCGGCTCGAGGCGGCTGCAGCGACAAAATTGCAGAGAATTGCAAAAATTGCGAATATCGACGGAGCGGATTGCGGGTCGGCCAACTCCTTCCACGCAATGCGTGTCAGAGGTGAGCCAAAAGTGAGCACTCTGAGCCGCAGCCCAGCTGAATGGACAAGCCAGCCCGGGCGACGTCGCATCAGCAAAAAAGGCCAATGCTGCCCTGACGCACTCACTGCACACCGGCTGCATCCCTCTCAATCTGCCGTGTGCCGCTCACCCGCTCACTCGCTCCGTCCGCCCTTCATCGGTGGCTCAGCGCTCAGACCCTATCCCTGTGTCCCGTCAGCGCTCTCCCCCTCTCGGTCTCCACTCGAGCCCCACCTCCTCCTCCATCGCCACTCCTCGCTCATTGCCATCACTTCGTCCCTTCACCTATACCTCTCCGATCCCACTCACGCTTCGACCTTCCCGCATCAACCACCACACTGGCTGCACCCCACACTTGCAGTACGAGCACCCTTCAACCCGCCACCCTGGCGTGTGCATCGCACCGCACCACACGCCCGACCACAATGTCCGCTCCGCGGCCCTCCACCAACACCATCAACGGAGGCACACCCGCCGGCGATGAAGGTAAGTCAAGCCAATGAAACGAACGTACATGCTGTTCCTTTTCTGATCTCTCCTCTCCTTACGATGACGCAGTCGCCGAAGCGGTATACAGCTTTAAGCTGCTCGAGGCGCTGAGAAAGGGCGACCAGCAGGCACTCATCCCGCTCCTCCAGCCCACTCACGCCAGCCAGAACCATCTTGCAAAGGAGAGCACATCCCCGCTCCACCTCGCCGTCCGCTGCGCCGACTTCAACATCATCTCCTTCCTCCTCAACTACAAGACCATCGACATCAACGCCACAGAGTCACAGCACGGCAACACCGCTCTCCACATCGCCGCCGCTTCCGGCCGCGACGACGTCGTACAGCTCCTCCTCGAACAGCACGACATCGACGACTCGAAGCGCAACAACGACAACAGAGACGCTCTCGAGGTCTCCAAAACTCCCGAAGTCGCTCAGCTCATCCAGGTCAGCCGTGCACAGCTCAACGTCAAATACGTCGATCTCCTCTCCGCCTACGAACAGGACACCCAGGCAGCAGAGCAAGCAATCCACGCCCTCCTCGACCTCCCGCGCTACTCGGTCATCGACCTCAACGCACACGGCGCCAACGGTTCCACCCTCCTCCACGAGGCCGTCCGCCGCAAAGATACCCGCATGATCGAAACCGCCGTACGCAAGGGCGCAGACGTCTATGCACGCGACCGTCGTGGCAAGCGCGTCGGCGACGTCACAAAGGACGAAAAGGTCAAGGCGCTCCTCCGCCAGCTCCACAACGCAGACGCCGCTCGCGCCAGCCAGGCCGCACACTCCGGTCAGCCCCCTTCCTTCAAGGGCTACCTCGGCAAGTGGACCAACATCGCACACGGCTACAAGACGCGCTGGTTCGTCCTCGAGGACGGCATCCTCTCCTACTACCACAGCCAGGACGACGAGGGCAAGCAGTCGCGCGGCGCCATCAACATGCGCTACGCAAAGATCCGCGCAGACAACAACGACAAGCACCGCCTCGAAATCATCAGCGAAACCGGAAAGGGCGTCTCCAAGCTCTACCTCCGCGGCACACACCCCGTCGAACGCGCACGATGGGTGCAGGTCCTCCAGCAGACCAAAGAGTACTTCAGCCTCGAGCGACAGACCAGCCGCGCAGACAGCTTTTACCGCCAGCGCGCTCCCTCCACCTCCTCGCTTCACAACGGTGCTTCCGCGACCGCTCCGCTCGCCAACCCTGCAGGCATCGTCCGTCCCTCCTCCACTGCACCGCTCGCCAACCCCGCCGGCATCGTGCGTCCCCCCTCCGCCGCTCCGAGCGAAAAGGGCAGTCGCGCTCTGCTCTCCATCAAGTCGCCCACCACTCAGCCTCCCTCGGGCGCCCCCAGCGAGCGCTCCCTCCAGCTCGCCAACCGCAGCCCCAGCATCCTCAGCCGTCTCTCCAGCGACGGCCGCCTGGACGACGAGAACGAGAACGGCGCCACCGGCGGCGCCATGCCCTTCGAGTCCGAGTTCCCCCTCACCGCAGAGGCGCTCAAGGCACAGGCCGAGGCCAGCCAGCGCCTCGTCGAGACTCTTCTGGGCGCCGGCGCTGTGGCTGCTCCCGCCGTCTCATCCGCGCGCAACTCGTCCGACGAGGCCAGCGCCGCCGCCGCCAAGTCGAGCCGCTCCAATCGCTCCTCGAGCGCATCCGTTTCCGGCAACAACGCCGATGCCGTGCGTTCGGCGCTCGACGCAGCCGTACGCAGCAACTTCCAGCTCGTCGAGCGCTACCAGGCCATGGTCGCCGCTCGCGAGACGTACATGACCAAGCGCTACGAGCGCGAGCTCCAGATCAAGCACCTGTGGGAAGAAAACATGGCCGTCCTTGCACAGCAGCATGCAGAGATGGAGGCACAGCTCAAGGAGGCCGCCTCAGAAAACGCGCGCAGGCGCAAGGCGTTGCGCGAGGTGCGCGAGACCATGGGCTCCTCGCCCGGCTCCATGATCTCGCCCTCGCTCGGCCCCTCGGCCTCGACGGGGTCCGTGCTGCACAACCCGGAGCCCCGCCGCCAGTCGACCATGCTCAGCAACGTGACCACCCAGTCCTATGAGACTGCCCAGACCGATGCTGCCGGCGGCTCGCTGGCGGCGCGTCGGCTGGGCAAC